GAATCAGGCTCTTGTCAATTTTTGAGCATGTAGAGTTATTGTTATCATCGTAAAGCTAGTTCACTTGTGTTTATCAGGATGAAAAAAATATCCATTTATCTTTTATAAAAGTCGAGATATTTCCGAATGAATGAGGTGGGGGTCATTTGTTTTCAGAGGTAAAATTAGTGAGAAAATGGACACCAAAGATTAGTTATTTCCTTAGCTTAAGAGTCCGTGGTAACTGAAAATTTACATTTTTTGTTCCTTTAATCAACGTTTTTCAGAAAAATTCACACAGAAGTGAGTTCTTTAATGGGCATGAAAGGTGTTGAGCCAAAAAACAAACATTTGATAAAAATTCACAAACCGAGAGAAAAAAAAAGTTTCTTCACTTTGAATATTTTGACGAGAGCCTGATTCCACCACGCTGCCTCACAATTTGTTCGTGAATGCCCCAGTGGACATTTTGTTTGAAAGGTTCTTATGTTGTTGGGTTTGTTTTTGGGTTGTTTTTATTTTTTTGCTTTTTTTTTTTTTTTTTTTTTTTACATTATTGTTGCATTGTCATGTGGTTCCCTATCTCTGAACTGCCAGGAGGAGGACATTGCTACAATAATATGGAATGGCGTTGGTAGCCTAGTGGTTACGCTTCCGGACTCGTCATCGTGAGATTGAGGGTTCGGGGGTTCGAGCCTCAGCTCGGTCCGACGTTGTGTCCTTAGGAAAGGCATTTTATACGAGCTTCCCACCTGGCTCGGTCCTGTCGGAGACGGATGTTAATCTAGGAGGTCCCGCCTCTTAAATAACCTAATAGTGTTGATAGGGGCGTTAAACTCATACCATTTCACCATTTTCACAATAATATGTGTGTCACGACACGGAGGAATCAGGCTCTCGTCAATTTTTGGGCATGTAGAGTTATTGGTATCATCTTAAACTTGTTCATTTGTCTTTATTTGGATGGAAAAAAAAATATCCTTTCATCGTGAATGGAAGTCTAGATATTTGCGAATGAAGGAGGTGTCACCTGGTTTCAGAGGTAATATTAGTGAGAAAACAGCAGCTAAAGATAAGTTATTGCCTGAGCCTGAGAGTTTGTGGAAACTGAAAATTTACTTTTTTGCGTGTGCCTTAAATCAACGTTTTTCAGTAAAATCCACAAAGAAATGTGTTCTTTAATGGGCGTGAAAGATGTTGCGCCAAAAAACAAAATTGTATACAAATGTCCAAACCCCGCGGAAAAATGCCAGTTTTTTCACTGTGACTATTTTGATGAGCGCCTGATTTCACCACGCTGCCTCACATATATTTTTGATTGAGTTTTCAATGAGACGATGCTTGAATTCCAGATGGTTTTTCATCTAACAAAAGAGATCCATGAATGTTTAAGTCTTTGCCGATGGGCGCCATCAAGCAAGCCTGCAGTGTTTGGTAATCGTGCTGTCCAGGTATTGTTGCAGTTCTCATCATAATATACAAATACGATACACGGTATTTGCAAAACGACGTCGTGAGCTAAACTTACACTACAAAAGGAAAACGAAAAAAATAAAAAAATAAAAAACAAAACTAACCAAAAAAAACGAAAAAAAACCCCAAACTAACAAACAAAAACCGAAAAAAAACAACAAAGCATCAAAGCGTTAATATCTGCCTCAGCTATGTCTAACTTCCTTAGTAATGCAGATTTTTCAACTGTTTCCGTAATCTTAAAAGGGAAGCGACGGGGGCGGGGGCAGGTGAAACGTTCACACTACCATTAAAACGGGTTTCGTGGGGTTCTATTTCTGTATTGTTTTTACCAACCTATTGAAGAGGGGAATTTGCAAATTCATGGGAGGGGAGTATGATGATTCAAATGCTGCACACTTTTGCTAATCGGACATATTAAAACAGTGTTATTGTGTCTGCCACGGAGACGTCATAAACATTGCTCACTGAAGACCTAAGAACAAAAACGAGGATATGTCACATTTCTCTAAAAATAGAGTTCTGCGAATCATTTGAAAGCGGCGCCAACGGCCTATCTATTAAAGCACTGACGGAGTGCTATTCTTTTTCTTCGCCCAGTTATTCTTGTTCGAAGATGGAAGCCTACACGTAACAACAAGGTCAAGTGTATTTAAGCCATCTAATCGGAATTTACCTGTACGTATTTCACGTATGAAGTTTTTCCTCATTTACTCGAAATCATCTAAATTGGGCTTGGTCTTGGTATTGTTTTAATAGTAACAGATTGCATTTGTATAGCGATTTTCCATCCTCGACAGCAAGCTCTATACGCTTTACACTATATCATTACCCCAGTAGACCATAGGGCACTCAGAAACATTCTCAGCTTCTCGGGAAGCAAACCGAGCAAGCAGCTGATTAAGCACCCAAACACTAAAAAAACTGACAAGATATTTCACTGTCTATACCTATTCCCATCTGGGTGAAGTGAGGAAAGTCCGTGTAAAGTGCTTATCCCAAGAACACAACGTTGCGCCCCTGACGGGATTCGATCCCACGACCTTATGGTTGCTAGTCTGAGAGCCTAACCACTAGACCACCGACACCACAGGTTTTCTTGTTGGTGAAAGTAACGCTGCCACATCTGGTCTCCAACTACACCGTCACAACACCTGACGTCACTGCACAGTATAGATGTCTGTTTAACACCCCATCGACACAAGTTAGATCTTTTAGGAAGCAGCTGCTCCCACCTTACTTGTAAGGATCATTCTCACGGGTTCAGAATATAGAACCCTTCAGCGGGAAAAACGGAGATACATTTAGTACTTGATTAAAAATTCTCCCCACCTGGGAATCGAACTCACGTTTTCTGCGTACAAAAGTACTTACTTACTTGGTTGGAGAATAAGCATAGTTGCCAGCGGCCCAATGCCATAGCTGCTCCTCCTCCTCTCCAGAATCCATGAAACGCTCTGCTTGCTGACTGTGCCAGTTAACAGCTGGTTGGATATTCTGCTGGAGGCATTTTCACGCTGGTGGTATCTCTCCTCGACCCTCTAGAAATGCCAGCTTTCCTCAGTGTTACCATTGTGTGTGATGTGGCGCCTTCATCCTCTCTGTGGTCCTTGAACCATGGCGTCAATGCTGCCATGAATGATTTTTTAAAAGTTTTAGTTAGAGGTTTTACAGCGCTCGCAACTGCATAAGGTCATATGAGCGCTAAGGGGAGGATGTCAACAGAGAAACCTCTACAGTGAATCAGACTTACTCTGCACACCTCTCTTGCTTCAACTGGACAAAGTCTGCTTCGATTATCAAGGCAACCCGGAAATAGCGGGTCACAAGAGTGTGACAAAAATACGAAAGAAGTAGAGAAAAAAATGACGATAGTAAGGACTAGGAAAGAAAAAGCAGCAGTTCCCTGTTTCAGTTCGAGCACAGTTATGAGCATGACATTGATGAATCAGCCCATTTACATTTACAAGTCTACTGTGTCTAAGAACATGGTTAATGTCCCCCCTTTGGGAATGGCCTAAAGACACTTCAGTCAGTAACTCTGCTCCTGGGGGGGGGGGGGGGGGGTGATGACTGTTGGTGGATCCAATTGCACGGTGACGCCAATCTCAGCCCTGCGGGCTAGCTTATCAACACGTTTATTTCTTCGAACTCCTGCACGACCAGGGCTAAAGATCCATACAATCCTTGTCAGTCTGATGCTTCGTATTGCCTCTCGATAGTTTGCATACTTCATGTGTTTCTTCACCTTTTCGAGGGTACTCATTGAGTCAGTGACGAGGATGACAGACTGATACTCCGTCGTTTTAATCCAGTTAAGGGCTTCTGTGATGGCTTTTATCTCCACTCACACGCAGTTAGACCTTTTCTGGCTCTTGTGTCGATCCTGGTAATGTGACCTTAACCTGAAAGTGATCTGTCAAAGGTTATACCTAGATACCTCAGTGAGTGCACACTCTGTGTACGTGTGCGCGCGCGCGCTGTGTGTGTGTGTGTGTGTGAGAGAGAGAGAGAGAGAGAGAGAGAGAGAGAGAGAGAGAGAGTCAGAGAGAGAGAGAGAGAGAGAGTCAGAGAGAGAGAGAGAGAGAGAGAGAGAGAGAGAGAGAGAGAGAGAGAGAGAGAGAGAGAGAAAGAGAAAGGACCCTGCCTTTGATGGTGACTGTGGGCTTCTCTGCTTTCCCTGAGTGATTGTTCAGCGGGAGCACCACAGCAGCAGGCTTGTCGAGGTGGAGTCTGCGTGGTGGTCTACACACTATTGCCCAATTCGCTCCAGCTCCTCGCGGGCAGTATTGCATACAGACGTGAGTCATTTTTTGGCGGCCTGTTGCACCATGTTAGCTGTTTCTTACCGGTCCTTGCCCTGTCTGTACAAAAGGATATCATCCGCAAAGCTCAGCACATGCCCTTGGCCTTTCAGTTGTCCAAGTGATTCCAACTGTGTATATGTGAGGCAGCGTGGTGGAATCAGGCTCTCGTCAAAATAATGAAATCGAAGAAAACAGCAGTTTTCTCCCTGCTTAGCAATTTTTTCTGATTTTTGTTTTTAGGCTGAACACCTTTTATGTCCATTTACAAACACATTCCTTTGAGGATTTCACCGAAAACGTTGATTAAAGGCACAAAAATATAAATTTACAGTTTCCATGGACTCTCCAGCTTTGGAATTTACCAAGCTTTGGCTGCTATTTTCTCGCAATTTTACCTCTGAAACCAGGTGACCCCCACCTCCTTCAATCCAAAATATCTCCACTTCTACTGAAGATGGGTGAGTACTTTTTAATTGAAAAGCAAAACAAATGAACAAGCTTTAAGATGATACCAATAACTCAATAATATGCTCAAAAATTGACGAGAGCCTGATTCCACCACGTTGCCTCACATATGTTGAATAACACTTGTGAGAGTGAAGAACCCTGTGGCAACCCCGGTGTCATGCTTCTGGTGTCAGATGTCCAATTTCTAATCTGCATTGCAACTTTCCTCTTCAGCAATGCCTTACCTACCTATATGACGAGCTGGGGGCTTATCTTCAGGTTGATCATTGTAAAAAATATATGGAACGCTTCACACATTTGCGTGTCATTCTTGCGCAAGGGCCATTCTAATCTTCTATCTTCTCTGTACTGTTCCAATTTTAGTATATATTATTATGATGAACTGCATGAACAGTACAAACGTACAACGGTGAGTGACTAACCGCTACACCATAGACACCGGTCTTTTCTTCATTTGAATTAGTCGGCACGCTCGGTCCCTTTCAGGTCAGAACGTTCAAATCACAAGAAAATCTAGCAGCCGGTTAAAATTCCATGACTCTGTAAAGCCATCCTCCCAAACTCACTCAAAACAAAAACAAAACCTTGTTCATCACGCCATACACCTCAAGCAACCCCACCA